TTAATGATGCGTGGGACTGTTCTATATAGATATTACACTTCACTGAGAGTTTTGTAAGGTCACAAAGTTAGGGCATGTCCAGGCATTAAACAAAAACCACTATATGCTGTTACAATTGAGAACAATGCGCTTAACTGGGTTAGCACCACAAAAAGATGGAAAAGTTACAGGATGGGAAAGATACTTACTATATAAACACTAACCAAGGAAGCTGAGTAACTCCTTCACATCAAGGTAAGCCATTAATGGCCAAGGGCATTGCTCGAAGTAAAAAAAGGTACTTCATGGTAATAAGGGGGGTCAGTTCACAGAAGGGGATACAAACCGTTCTAATCTGTATTGGCATTTAATAATATAGCTCAAATATATAAAGGCAAAATGACAGGACTGAAAGAGAAATGGAAAATCACAGTCAATTCATGTACAGAAGGCCAACAGTAACAAGTATTAAGATTTGAACTAGGGCATGATTAACACTGACCTGACATTGGGCTGACTGCAGGTCAGGGATATGCACTCTGGGTTCTTTTGTTTGTTTGTTTGAGGACAGAGTTTCAACTCTGTTGCCCATTGCTAGAAGCTAATGGCCAATTCAGTCATAGCAATCCTCTGCTCCCAGATTCAACTCAATCTCCGCCTTAAGCTCCCAGGTAGGAGCTGGGAAGCAGGCGTGTTACACCCATCGCCTGGGCTAGTTTTATTCTTTTTTATTTTTAGTAGGATGGGGTTCACCATGTGGTCGGCTGGTCTCGAACTCCGCCTCAGGTGATCCACCTGGCCTCAGCCTCCCAAGGTGCGGGAGGTACTATGGCATAAGCCACCAGCCTGGCCTTTTTTTTTTTTCTTTTTTTTTTTAGATGGATCTTCACTCTGTCTTGCCGGGCTGTAGTGCAGTGGCACAATCTCAGTTCACTGCAAGCCCCATCTCCCATGTTCTCTGCCTCCAGCTCCTCATGAGCTTGGATTACAGGCACATGAGCCACATCTGGTTGCTAAGTTTGTATTTTTTAGTAGAGACAGGTTTCGATGGTTGGTGTCAGGCTGGTTTTGAATCCTGACTCTCAGATGATCCACCCAATACTTGTTCTTTTCCCAAAGTGTGGGTTACAGTATGAGCCAACCGTGCCTGTGCCACTCTTTACAATTATACATGAACAGTTGGCTAAAACAGACAAATCGTGGAACTATAAAGCAATTTAACAAATGGTCAAAAGAAGGGGTATCATATAGAGATGTTTTGTATGTTTCTGACCACAGTGAATTAAATAGGAAGCAATAATAAAAAGATAGCAACGGGGCCAGACGCAGTGGCTTCATGCCTGTAATCTCAGCACATTTTGGGAAGGCTGGAGCGGGACGAATCACCAAGGGTCAAGGAATGAGACGTCCTGCGCCACATGTTGAAACCCTGTCTCTACTGAAAATACAAAAAAAAACAAAGCTGACCGTAGTGGTGCGTTGCCTGTAGTCTCAGCTACCTCAGGCGAGGCTGAGGAGGAGAATCGCATCTGATCCAGGGGAGGCAGAGGTTGGAGATGAGCCAAGATCATTGCACTGTATCCACCTGCCACGAGCAAGACTCCATCTCAAAATAAATAAATAATAAATAATAAAAATATAACAGGGGAAGTAAGCAATATATCTCTTAAAATTATCACTCTAGGTCAATTAGAAAATATTTTGAATTGATATAATGGAAACCGTGGCCAGGGCATGGTGGGTAATTGCCAATAATCCCAAGGCACCTGGGAGGTGAGGCAGGCGATCACTTGAGTCAGGAGAGATCGAGACCAAGCCTAGTCCAACATGGGAACCCCAATCTCTACAAAAGATACAAAATTAGCGCGGGTATGTGGTGCATGGCCTGTAATCCCAGCTACCTCAGGAGGCTGAGGCAGGCAGAGACACGCTTGGAACCAGGAGGGGGAGGATTGCAGTAGCCAAGATGGTGCCATTGCACTGCAGTTTGGGTGGCGATCGAGACTCTGGTCTCAAAAATAATAATAGGAATGTGACTAACAAATGTGTCAAGGTGTAGCTTAAGAAGTTTATTAGAGGCAAATGTGTGGCTCTAAATGCATGTATTAAGAAGAGAGGATTATTAAAATCAAATGACCTGGCAGGCACAGTGGTCGACCACTCTAATCCAGCACTTTAGGAGGCCAAGGCAGGTGGGTCACCTGGAGGGTCAGGAGTCAAGACCAGTGTAGCGCACATGGAACCCACACTCTACTAAAAATACAAAAAAGAGTTTAGGCAGGCATGGCAGGGCCGCCTGGCGTAATCCAGCTACTCAGGTAGTTGAGGCAGGACGAACCGCTTGAACTCTATGGGCAGAGGTGGCAGTTGAGCCAAGATGAGCGCCCTGCACCCAGACTGTGATGTAAACAGGAGAGTTGAAACTGAGTCTCAAAAAAAAACATCATATGGACCTAACGACTAAAATAATCGTGACTAAGCTCACCTCAAGAGTTGGGAGGAAAAAGGCTGGGAAAGAAACAGCAGATCAGGGAGCTTGAGGGCACATGGCTGAAAGCCTAACCTACCTGCGTGAAGGCTGAGGTAGGAGGATACTTGAGCCAGGAGGTGGAGGCCACAAGTGAGCTGGTCACATTACTGCGCACTCTGCCTGGGTGAGACCCTGTCTCAAAAAGAGAGGAAGGGGGCAGGAGGAGGAGGGAGCGAAGGAAGGGAGGAGGGACCGGAGGAAGGAGGGGAGAGGAGGAAGGAGCGGAGGGAAAGGAGGAGTGGGAATTGGGGAAGGAGAGAGTGAGGGAGGCGGGAAGTAGGTGGAAGGTACAGGGGAGGAAGAGGACGGTGGGAGGGAAAAGAGACGAGGGAAGGGAGGAGAAGGAGGGGGAGGCGGAGGGAAGGGGGAAAGGAGAAGAAGTAGGGGAGAGAAGGAGGAGAAAGGAGGAGAGAAAGGGGGAGGGGAGAAGGGGGAGGCAAGAGGAGAAGGGTAAAGGGAGGGGAGGGGAGAGGAGAAAAGAGAGATGGCACAAATTATTAATATCCATCACCACATATCTTACAGATACTAAAAAGATTGGCTGGGCATGGTGGCTCATGCCAGTAACACCAGCACTTTGGGAGGCCAAGGTAGGAGGATCATTTGAGGCCAGGAGTTCGAGACCAGCCTAACATAATATGACCGCATTTCTCCCCCTCCAAAAAAAGACAATATTATGAACTTTATGCAAATTATTTGAAATTTTAGATAAAATGGAAAAATTCCTTGAAAACCACAACTTACCAAAAATAAAATAGAGCATCTGAATAATTGTATTTTTATAAAAGAAATAGAATTTGTAATTTAAAGTCTTTCCACAAAGAAAACTCTAGGTCCAGATGGCTGATGACTTCTTCCAAACATATAAAAAATAAATAACATCAATCCTACACTAGCACTTCCAAAGAACAGAAAAAGAGAGAACACTTCTCCACACATTATGTATCAGCATAGCCTTGTTAACAAAACCCAACAGGGATCTTACAGAAAAGAAAAGAAAAGAAAATCTGGCAATATATAGAAAGAACAGGCCGGACATCGTGGCTCACGCCCGTAATCCCAGCACTTTGGGAGGCTGATGCGGGTAGATCACCTGAAGTTGGGAGTTCGGTACCAGCCCGGCCAACATAGTGAAACCCCATCTCTACTAAAAATACAAAAATTAGCCGGGTATGGTGGCGGGCGCCTATAATCCCAGCTACTCGGGAGGCTGAGGCAGGAGAATCACTTGAACCCGGGGGGCGGAGCTTGCAGTGAGCAGAGATTGCCCCACTGCACTCCAGCCTGGGCAACAGAGCGACACTCCATCTCAAAAAAAAAAAAAAAGGAAATAGGGGACGGACAAGGAGTCTCTCAGTTAAATTCCCCCTTCCTCGGCCCATTTCACCGAAGCCTGAAGCCGAAGAGAACACGAGCCACAGCATGGCGGGCGCAGCCATCCCCGCCTTCCACCACCAGACAGAAACTCTGGGGCCACCGCCCGCTGCGCCAGCGCGCATGCGTGGCACGCGACGGCCGCCGGTGTCCACCTGCGTCTTAGGAGGAGCCCGGACGGGGAGGGGCGGGGCTCAGACGCTGCGCACGCGCACTCGCGATCCCTCGCCTCCTTTTGCTCTTTCTGGCGGGAAAAGCTCACGCACTCCTCCCCCAACTCAACTGCCGTTCGTCGTTCGTGGCCGTCGGTTGTGTCCCGAGACTAGGACGTGGCTCCAGGTGCGCCCTGCCCCGTGGCGAGGTTCCCCAGAGTGGCCCTTCCCAGCCCCTACCGAAATCCTAGTGAAGCCCCCCATATTGTGGGAGAGATTCCCCTGCGTCAGGACCCCCCAAATCCTATTAAAATCCTGACCAAGCGGGGCGTGGTGGCTCATGCCTATAATCCCAGCACTTTGGGAGGCTGAGGCGGGCGGATCTCCTGAGGTCGGGAGTTCGAGACCAGCCTGACCAACATGGAGAAACCCCCTCTCTACTAAAAATACAAAAAATTAGTTGGGTGTGGTGGCAGTCGCCTGTAATCCCAACTACTAGGGAGGCCGAGGCAGGAGAATCGCTTGAACCTGGGAGGCAGAGGTTGCGGTGAGCCGAGATCGCGCCATTGCACTCCAGCCTGAGCAACAAGAGCGAAACTCCATCTCAAAAAAAAAAAATCCTGACCACTTGGGAGGCCGAGGTGGGCAGATCACGAGGTCAGAAGATAGAGACCATCCCGGGGAAGTGAAACCATGTCTCTATAAAAAATACAAAAAATTAGTCAGGTGTAGTGGTGTGCAACTATAATCCCAGCTACTTGGGAGGCTGAGGCAGGAGAATTGCTTGTACGTGGGAGGCAGAGGTTGCAGTGAGCTGAGATCGTGCCATTGCACTCCAGCCTGGGTGACAAGAGTGAGACTCCGTCTCAAAAAAAGAATCCTGACATCCCCTTAGAAATTCTGAAAGGAGTCCACCAGAAAATCTTATAGGTGACCCCCGAAATCCTGTCAGAATCGTCTAGAAGTTCTGTCAGACTTGTCCCTCAGAGCCTGCCAGAGACTTTCCCCAAGATTCTGTTACTCTCCCCAAATCAGCAGAGATGCCTGGACTTCTGTCAGAGATCCCCAGAAATCCTAGCAGGTCCCTCCCAAACCCAGTCAGACCTCAGATTTCCTCAGAGAGCCCAGAAGTCCATCAAAGACACCCCAGAAATGGAGACCCCGAAATGCAGTCAGAGAGCCCTGCAGAAATCAAGACCCCCCAAACCCAGCCAGAGACCCCCAGAAATCCAGAGACCCCCCAAAATTAAGACCTCCAGAATCAAGCCAGAGACCTCCAGAAATCCAGTCAGACCCCTGCAGAAATCAAGACCCCCAAAATCCAGCCAGAGACCCCAGAAATCCAGTCAGAGACCCCTGCAGAAATCAAGACCCCCAAAATCCAGAGACCCCCGAAGAAATCGAAACCCCCAAAATCCAGAGACCCCAGAAATCAAAACCCCCAGAATCCAGTCAGAGAGCCCCCAGAAATCCAGTCAGACCCCCGCAGAAATCAAGACCCCCAAAATCCAGCCAGAGACTCCTGAAATCCAGTCAGAGACCCCCATAGAAATCTAAATCCCCAAAATCCAGCCAGGCACTCCCCAGAAATTCAGCCAGAGACCCCCCCAAAATCTTGTCAGAGCCCTTGAAAGCCCTCCAAGGCACACACCACCCAGAGCTCCTGCCAGGGCCCCATCCTGCTTCAGTGTCCCCGTCCCAGTCCCATCAGACCCCCGAGATCAACCAACACCCTCGGGGTCCCTCAGGACTTCGTCCCAAACCCAGCCCGTGCGCCAGGGCCCGGCCAAGGCCATTGCCCCCCTTTGCACCCTGCAGGGTGTTCCAGACCCTGGAAGGGCGTCTCTTCAAAGACCTGTGTTTCCAGAACGTTCCAGAAGTGCACGGTGGCAGCGGGCCCACGTGGCTGAGGGAGAGCAGGTGCTGGGGAGCTGGGTGAGGGCAGGTGAGCCCAGGCTCCACTGGTGGCCCCAAGGGGCGCCCATGCCTGCTGTGATGATAGCAGCACTCAGGTCTCTCTGTAGCTCCCAGAGTGCGGCCACTAAGGCACTGGGTTGGCCTGGGTGGAATGGAGGCAGGATGGGGCCCCCCAAACTCCTGTCACTGCTTCAGTGACTGCCCAGAGCAGCCGCAAGTGGGGCTGGCAGGGATGAGGAGGAGGTGGCCTGGGCTCGGGGGACCGTGTACATTCTGAGTTGGAACCCGGGGAGCAGCAGATTTGGGGCTGTGATGAGGAGAGACCTACGGGTTGCCCAATGGAGAGAAAAGGGACAGGAAGAGGCAGGAGCTTCAGAGACTACTCTATGCCACTCTAGCCTGAGGGACTGGAACTTAGTCCTGGGGCACTAGGGAGCCATGGGAGGGTTGGGAGCAGGGGGCGAAGCAAGATCAAACTCCCGTGAGAAGCCAGCCGGCCAAATCCAGGCTGATGTGGCAAGAACGGCAGCTGTCCAGGGCCGTGTGGGAGTCAGACACAGCCCCTCGCTTCCCGGAAAAGGCCACGCGAAGCCGAGGCAGGATGCAGGAGGGCGTCCCAGGCAGAGTCCAGCTCAGAGTGGTTGGAGCATCATGTGCGATTTGGGGTGCTGAGGTGGGCGGTCAGCCATGCAGGGCCTTGGTGTCAGGGCCAGGGTCTAGCCCGTCCCCAGGGTTCGGGGAGCCATGCAGGGGTACTGAGCAGGGGAGGGGCAGGTTGGCTCTGGGGCCCTGTGGGGACAGACTGGAGGGCAAGCCTGGGGATAGGAGGCTGGGACTAAGGCCAGGGAAGAGAACCAGGCAGCCTGGGCCAGCGATGAGCCGTGTGAAGGAAGGGAGGCATTGACACCCCCCGACCCACCCACTAGCCGCTTTGATGTCAGCCGCCTCGTTCCCCAGCCCACACCTCCAATCCATAAAACAGGTCGGAGCCGAGCTGCTCAGGTCCCAGCGGGGGTGGCAAACAGGTTGTGAGGATCCAGAGGTCCTGGAACACAGGTGGGGCCAGGCAGGCCTCGACCCTTGGTGGCTGCTCCGAGGACACCATTCCCCTGCTTCTCCTTCTAGGAGTGCGCAGGGCAGCTGGTCCTTTTCCGTCCCTCCCCGTGAAGGAGGGAGGCTGGTAGCTTTGCCAGCAGCTGTGCAGCAGCAGGGGTGGCCCATGGACCTGCCCGAGGGCCCGGTGGGTGGTCCCACTGCGGAAAGTAAGTGACTGGGACCCTGTTTGCCCCGGGGAGGATGAGGAGGGAGCCATGGGTGAATGGGCACCAGGCTGTGACTCGGGGGACTTGGGAGAGGTGACTGAGGGTAGCTGAGCCTTTGCATGAGTGCAGGGTGGAAGGGAGGGAAGGGACTCTGGTGGATTAAGTGCCTACTGTATGCCCGCCCACCTGTCTGTACCCCTTATCTCCTGTGGGGAGGCTGGACTGTGTGAGAGCACAAGCAGCCGCACCCCTTACTCCTCTCAGATCGCTGCCCAGATGGTACTTCTTATGTAAAGCAGTTGCCCTGTGACACTCTCTCCCCTGCCCTGCTTCACTTCTCCTCGTAGTGCTCACATCTGTCATGTTTTGTCTCTGCCTCCCCCACTAGAGCATGAGCTTCACAAGGCAGCGTCTGTTTTATTCACTCTGGTATTCCCAGTCCCTAGAGCAGCGCTGTCCTGTGGAAGTACAATATGAGCCACATACGTAATTTAATAGTTTTTAAAAGAAAAAAGGAACAGGTGAAATGAATGGTAATAATAGATTTTCCTTATATACCCAGAGTAATACCCTCTATGTATTATATATATAAAATATATCCAGTCTATAGCCAATATAAAAATGTATTCAGATATTCTCTTTTTTTCATACTAAGTCCTCAAGATCTAGCGTGTACTTTACACTAACAGAGCATTTCAATCCACACTCGCCTCAGCTGAGGTGCTCCGGAAGGAGAGACTGCCCTATTGGTTGGGACCCCAGAGCAACTCCTGACTCATCGTAGGCGCTCAGTTACTGTTGAATGAACGGATGGATACAGGCTGAATGGGTGTGAAAGGCGGCTTCAGGGGGTGGGGAGGAGGCACTGGCGTTGCCTCTCTGAAACTCATCTGCCAAGTGAGAGAGCCCAGTCTGATGGGGATGGCAGGGCCCCTTTCTTAGAGGCTCCCCGGCATCCACAGCACAGCCTGCGTCTTTTTCTACGAAGCCCCAGGCCTCAGGAGGCTTTCCAGATAGGAGAGTCAGAGGCAGACACCAGGGTGTGGGAACCAGAGGACAGGCCATCTAAACTTCACCTGCACCAGCAGAGGGCGTGCAGCCACCGGGATCTGGGTGGCAAGGGCTGAGCCAGCTTCCAGAGTCTCCGGAAGGAAAGGTAGGAACACACCCAGAAGGAGAGGTGGAGACTGAGGAAGGCAGAGGGAAAAAGAAAGAGCAGAGAAAGGAAATAGAAGGCTTAGGGAATGGAGAGTGGCTGAGATATGGGAAGGGAAGCACAGAGACTGAGATACAGGGAAGAAAACGGGGACAAGGGACATGGAGGCACAGAGACAGGACATGGGGAAGAGAGACTGGGAGAAAGATAGAAAGAGCCAAAGAGAAATGTAAAGAAGAGGCAAAGACAGAGACATAGAGGAGAGAGAGAGAGAGACAGAGGAAGGAGATCTTTCTCAGGAACAGGAATGACATCTCCCTGGGGGAATCCTGGGATGCGACTTCAGACACATGCTGATCCTCAGAGCCAGCACGACCTGACGCCAGTCCTGAGTTCTATTCCCAGCTTCGCTCGCTCTGGCAAGCCCCCCTGGGTGAACGATCTCATTGGGCCTCACGATCCTTGTTCATGTAACATGAGAACAACAGTGAGGGGGCTGGGTATGGTGGCTCACGCCTGTAATCCCAGCACTTTGGGAGGCCAAGGTGGGCAGATCACTTGAGGTCAGGAGTTCAAGATCAGCCTTGCCAACAGGGTGAAACCCCATCTCTACTAAAAATACAAAAATTAGCTGGGCCTGGTGGCAGGCACTTGCAATCCCAGCTACTCAGGAGGCTGAGGCAGGAGAATTGGTTGAACCCCAGAGGCAGAAGTTTCAGTGAGCGGAGATTTCGCTACTGCACTCCAGCCTGGGTACCACAGCAAGACTCCGTCTCAAAAAAAAAGACAGCGAGAGGAGGAAAACAGACGGGCTAAAGCCCTGGTCGTCCCTAACTGTGAGTTCACACGCCCCTTCCCAAGGGCCAAACCTAGGAGCATGGGTTCAAGCCAGAGGGAATGTAAATGTCACGCACTGCGAAGAACCCGGGAAGAGCTAGAGGGATGAGAAAGTTGACTCGTATGTTAAACAGGGTGACCTTTGCTGAGTTCTTAGTTTCTCTATGCTTTAGTCCCCTCATTTGTAAAGTAGGGATTATAATAGCATCGATTATTAATATGCTACTAGACAGTTCATGTAAAGTGCCCAGAAAAGGCCAGGCACCTACTAAATGCTCAATAAGTGTTCAATTCTATTCTTGAGTCCCCACCACGTGCCAGGCCCTCTGCCAAAGCCCTTCTAGATTTTATCTCATTTTCTCTCTAGGAAAGAGGTAACACCAACCCCATTTTCCAGAGGAAGAAACTGAGGCCCAAGAGAAGTTGAGTCCATTGCCCCAAGTGCCGCCACTTGTCTGAGGCCAAGCCTTAGTTACCCCCTGGATCTACCCAGTCCCGCAGCCTGTGCTCAGTGAGCTGCTGCACCCAGCTGTTCAAGGTCAGGGCAGGGAGCCTAGAAGGTCACTTCCAGCCCTGGGAGGGAGGCTGGGCCAGTCCCAGTGGCTTCTGCAGTTGAGGATCTCTTCCTATGTCATGGAGCATTTGTTGAGCACCTACTACGTGCAGGTGTTGTGGCTACAACAGTAGACAAATAAACCCCAGGACGTGTGTGTGTGTGTGTGTGTGTGTGTGTGTACACATGTGTGCTTCACATACACAGAGCTAACTCAGCCCTGGTGAGGAGGATCACTCTACCCACCCACCCCCCATTTTACCAGTAGGGAAACAGGTTCTGAGAGAACAGACTTGCCCACAGATGTGCAGCTGGACTCTGCACCCAGGTCTATGTGACACACGCATATGGTTTGATCCAGCTCATAGCCATTCCCTCACTGCCCACCCTGCCTGGTTTACCCCATCCCTTCATGTCTCAGCCCCCGGCCATGGGCTCCAAATGATGCCAGCCTCGCCTTAGGGATGCAAGGAGGAGAGAGACCTGGTCCCCAGGGTGGGCTGGGAGACCGGAGATGCAGCAGGCGGGATCGATCTGGGCTGCCCACGCATTATTGGATTGTTCCTGGCTCCTGGGCCCCCCTTCACTCTCAGCTCCTCCCAGAATCCTCTCTTCTTTGCCCTCCCCCGCCCTGTCCTTTTCTGAGTCCAGCCTGGGAGGCTGGAGAGGAGAGGAGGGAAGGGTGATCTCAGAGTGTCCTTCTCTGGGCTCCTAAGCCAATTGGACACAAAAAGACAGCCGGGGGGACTTCCTGGTCTGAAAGATGGGGGGAAGTAACTCAGAGACCCTCACATTGTTGCCCCCTCCTAAGCTTCCTGCTGTTCCCCGCTGGCCCTAACTCTAGGTGCTCTGAGTGAATTCCCTCCCCTCTGCAGAGCCCAGGAGGCTGAGGACCTGGGGTCACCCCTCTTCCTTCCTCATTCTTCTCACTGGTGAGCTGAACCCTCTTGTCTCCCCAGTGTACCTCTGGGAGCAGCCTGAGGAGGCAAGGCTGGGGATGCCGGTCAGCTTGGAGGAGCAAATACTCAACTCCACATTCGAAGCTTGTGACCCTCAGAGGACAGGTGGTGGGGCAGGAGGGGTGCTGGGGACCAGCGCGGGCGGGAGAGGGGTGGAGGCTGGGAACTGGGGAGCCTCAGGGAGAAGACTGGGCTGGGGCCCCTCTTGGGGGTATTGCAGGAACAAAGTAGGTGATTTTGGGAAGCTTCAGGAAGAAGAAAGTGGATAACAGAGTGAAGGCCTTTTAGAATGAGGAAAACCTGGGGGACATTGATGGAAGAGGGTAGAGTTTTGGGGTCGTGGGATGGGGGAGGGAGGCAGCCACCATGGTGGAGTGGGGCATGGCTGGGGCTGTCCCCATGTCCATCCCCTTTGGTTCACCTTGTGATAGGGGGATGACTGGGCCCCATTTCCAGGTGAAAAAGTAGACTCAGAGGAGGGGAAAGGGCTTGCCCAGTGTGTCTCCACTGGGCTATGGAGCAGGAGTGCCACCAGCCTAGCCAGTGACATCCTGCTCCCAAGCTGCTGCCAGTCCATACCCACTACTCCCCACTTGCCCCAGACCCCCTCACTGCATGCTCTGTCCCAGGCACTGTGGCTGTGACCCAGGTGCTGGCCTACCTGGAGGCGGTGACAGGCCAGGGCCCCCAGGATGCACGCCTCCAAACGTTGGCCAACAGCCTGGACCCCAATGGGGAGGGCCCTAACGCCACTGTGGACTTGGACACTTTTCTGGTTGTCATGCGTGACTGGATTGCTGCCTGTCAACTACATGGGTGAGTCCCCACACCTTCATCCTTCTCTGGGAAGTCCTTCCTAAGATCTAACCTCATACCTGCTTACTGGAGCCAGCATCCTTTAGGCCCAAGGACCTACTGTGTTTGGAACGAGGCTGTGGAGAGAAAAATGAAGAGATGGGATTCAGAGGGGGTAGATAGGGAGTCTGAGGACAAAATAATTTGGATGAGGAGGCAGAGGGGGTCTGGGAGACAAATAAAATGGGGCTGGAGAAAGGAGGAGCTTGGGGCTGACAGAGGTCCCTCGCCATCCCTTCACCCAACCCACTCCTTGCCCCTCCTGCTTTTCCATCTGGCCGCAGGCACTTGCCATCTGGCCTCACCCTCCTACCCTGTGGTGCCAGCTCTCACCTGACCTGGTCCCCTCCTCCCACCTGCAATCCCCCTGCCTGTGGCTGGTGAGGACTGAGGGGCGGCTACAGTGGGGCTCTAAGCCTCATCCCTTTGATACAGGGGATTAGAGCTGGAAGAGGAGACCGCCTTCCAGGGAGCCCTGACCTCCCAGCAACTGCCATCTGGTGAGATTGCTATATATAGAATGAAGCAGGCAGGCCCTGGGTCAGACAGTGTGGGAACTTACCACCCAGGGCAGAGCAAGGGATAGGGTGGGAACCAGGGACCTTTACTGTAGCCTGGAGCTGTGAGTGTGACTTTCTAGGTCCTCTGTCCCTTCCTTCCCTGAGCTTTGGGGTTTTTTTCTTCAGAGGATGGTTTCCAACTCTTCCTCCTCACACCAGCCCTATCAGAGAGGCCTACAAGGCCCCGCCTACCTCTGCTCCATCATCATTAACATCACCTCCTCCTCACTCTAGTCCAGGCATTCGCAGGCCCACTGGTCTTGCTGCCCTTCCTCGAATGTGCCCCACTTCTGCCCAGCGCAGGCCCTTGCTCAGGCTGTTCCCCTCCACTCCTCACTCCCCAACCCCCTAGCCTTTTTTTTTTTTTTTTTTTTTAAGATAGAGCTTCGCTCTTGTTGCCCAGGCTGGAGTGCAATGACGCGATCTCAGCTCACCGCCACCTCCGCCTCCTGGGTTCAAGCGATTCTCCTGCCTCAGCCTTCCGAGTAGCTGGGATTATAGGCATGCGCCACCACGCCCAGCTAATTTTGTATTTTTCGTAGAGACGAGGTTTCTCCATGTTGGTCAGGCTGGTCTTGAACTCCCAACCTCAGGTGATCCACCTGCCTCAGCCTCCCAAAGTGCTGGGATTACAGGCGTGAGCCACCGCTCCAGGCCGTTATCCTTCACACCTCTGGCAAAGGGGAAGCCCTGGTATGCCCCTGGCTAGAGTTCCCTGCTTCCCATGCTCACTCCTAGACTTGTAGGCCTTTCCATTGGAACATCTACCTGCAAAGGAAATCTGATTATCTAGTTAGCCACCGACGCCTGGGTTTAGTTGGCTGGTTTGCTCACCATTATATCCCCAGGACCTCACACATAGGAGGTGCTTCATAAAAAAGTGGTGGTCATGGACCGGGCGCGGTGGCTCACTCCTGTAATCCCAGCACTTTGGGAGGCCGAGGCGGGCGGATCACGAGGTCAGGAGATTGAGACCATCCTGGCTAACACGGTGAAACCCCGTCTCTACTAAAAATACAAAAAATTAGCCAGGTGAGGTGGCGGGGCCTGTAGTCCCAGCTTCTCGGGAGGCTTCTCGGAGACTGGCATGAACCCAGGAGGCGGAGCTTACAGTGAGCCGAGATCACGCCACCGCACTCCAGCCTGGGCGACAGAGCAAGACTCCGTCTCAAAAAAAAAAAAAAAAAGTGGTCATGATTACAGCCGTGAGCCTGTAATCCCAGCATTTTGGAAGTCCAAGGTGGGAAGAACATTTGAGCCCAGTAGTTTGAGACCAGCCTGGGCAACATAGTGAGACACCATCTCTACTAAAAATAAAAAATTAGCTGAGTGTGGTGGCATATACCTGTGGTCCCAGCCGGGACACTGAGACAGGAGGATCGCTTGAGCCTGAGAGGTTAAAGCTGCAGTGAGCCGTGATTACACCACTGCACTCCAGCCTGGGCAATAGAGCAGGATCCTGTCTTTAAAAAAAAAAGGTGGTCATGTTCCATTTCTCTAACCACACAAAAAAAGATGGGGAGGGAAGGAAGTTCTCTTCAACCTCCTTCATCAGGCTTGGGGGCCCAGGGAGGGCTGCGAGCAGAGGAGGGACTAGAGGCCAGGAGGCCAGAGAAGAGGCTGTGGTGAGGGTCCGAGAGGAGAAAGCAAGGGCCAGGGTGTGGAGACAGAGAGGAGGGGTGGAGCAGAGAGTCAGGGGCAGGAGGAAGAAGTCTGCGCTCTGCTGGACTGGGGGTGACAGGGAGAGAGGGAGCCAGGTCCGCCCAGTGGCTGGGTGGTTGGTGGGGGATCTGGGAAGGGGAAGGTGAAGTGCTGCCCAGGGTTGGGTGTAAAGAATGTGGGGGGTGGGGGTTATCTGGGAGATCCAGCCTGAGCTCAAGGTAGAAGACAAGCAAGAGGGCTTTACAGTGGGTATAACTGCAGCCCCTAAAGCCCATGAGATCCTCCAGAGCACAGACAAGGGTGGAGCCAGACAGAGACCAACCTCATGGCCCTGGGGCACCTCACATTTAAGGGTAACAGGGAGGCCAACACCCTCTTGTCTGTCTCCCTCCAGGATGCCCAGAAGCTGAGGAGCCAGCCAACTTGGAGAGCTTCGGAGACGAAGACCCCAGACCCGAGCTGTACCTATCCTCACAGCCCTCCCTGACCCTCCTGCCCACGCCCTGTCCCCTCCAGCCTGCCGAGGCCTGGGTAGGGTTTGGGATCCTTCAGGGAAATGAGTGAGGGACGGAGCTTTGCCGAAAGTTCAGGGAGAGTAGAGGAGTCTCTCTCCTGTTTCTCTCTCCCTGAAAGAGCCACATCTCCCCACCACCAGCACCTACCTCAACCTGGGGAAATGAGGCAGGGGCTGTGGACAGTGACCTGAACCCCTTCCTTGCCCCTAGGCAAGCCACAGCTGACCTGCTGAGCAGCCTGGAGGACCTGGAGCTCAGCAACCAACGTCTGGCTGGGGAGAATGCCAAACTCCAGCGGAGCGTGGAGACAGCTGAGGAGGGGTCGGCACGCCTTGGGGAGGAGATCTTGGCTCTGCGCAAGCAGCTTCGCAGGTGGGCTTGACCCCACATCCACCCTCCCCAGCGCCCCTGCCTCCATCCTGCCTGCAGCACTGGCCTCTATCTCCCATGCTCGCTGTCTGCATCCTGCTCTGTCTTTGACTCTGTACCTGTCCTTTCTTTTCCCTTTTCTGTTTTTTATCTTTTGTGTCTCTCTGGTTCTTATCTCTCAGCCTGTTTTGGTCTTTTTATCTTTCCCTGGAGGAGGGTTCAGACTTCTCTCTCTCTCTCTTTTTTTTTTTTCTTTTTTTTTTTTTTTTTTTTTGTTTGAGACAGAGTCTCACTCTTTCACCCAGGCTAGAGAGCAGTGGGCGTGATCACAGCTCACTGTAACCTCTGCCTCTGGGCTCAAGCGATCCTCCCACCTCAGCCTCCCAAGTAGCCGCAGGCCCACCACACTGCCTGGCTAATTTTGTTTTATTTTTTTATAGAAATGAGGTCTCACTGTGTTGCCCATGCTGGTCTCAAACTCCTGGGCTCCAGCCATCCTCTCGCCTTATCATCCCAAAGTGCTGGGAGTACAGGCCTGAGCCACTGCACCCAGGCTAGATTTCTCTCTTTATTCTTTTCCTCTCTCTGATTCTTCATGTCATTTGCCCTTTCGTCTCTCTGTGCTTTGTCATTCTTCATGTTTATCATGGTCTCCCTGTTCTGGTCCCCCACTCTCTCTAGGTCTCTTTCCCACCTCCTCCTCTTTTAGGTTAAAACTGGGTCTCTGTGCCCCCACCAGGTCTCTTTCTCCTCTTTTCTCTCTGGGTCTCTGTCCTCCCCTCTCTCTGGGTCTCTGTCCCTGCCCACCACCTGGGATCTCTCTGTTGTTAGTGTCTCTCAGAATGGATCTGTCTCTGTGCTTCTCTGCCTTCCTCTCTCTCATATGGCTGATCCACCCCCACCCCCATTCAGTACCCAGCAGGCTCTGCAGTTTGCCAAGGTGGTGGATGAGGAGCTGGAGGACCTAAAGACTCTGGCCAGGAGCCTGGAGGAACAGAATCGCAGCCTTCTGGCCCAAGCCCGGCAGGCGGTGGGTCTGACCCAGGGGAAAGAAGGTGCCCTCTCTCTTTGTTTCCTGGAGTCAGAGCGGCAGTGTGACTATGGAGTAGGAAGGGGCAGAGGCCACCTGGCTTTCTCCCTCTCTCCAGGCCCTGCTCACCCTGGACTTTTTCAATCTTACCTGCCATCCTTCTCATGACAAAGGAGACAGCAGGAGCCATTAGGGCTTCCCAGACCCATTCCCCCAACCCTGTCCTTCAATGACCCAGGCCCTGGTTGTGTTCTCAGGGGTGGGAGAAGGGCAACATGGGGGCAAGGAGGCTGGAAATGAAGCCTTTGTCCTCTCTCTGGGGTTGGTCAGGAAAAGGAGCAGCAGCATCTGGTGGCTGAGATGGAGACTCTGCAGGAGGAGGTGAGTGGAGGCCCAGCACCCACCCCCACCCCTTCCCTAGTCCTTAGGGTCTTCTTGACACCTCTCCCTTCTGCCCCCAACACCCCAGCAGCCTGCCACCAAACAACCTTCAGCCGGCTTGGGGAGACCTCAGAATGTCAGTAGTGTGGGAATGTCCCTGAGGTTACACCACACTGTGAGAACTACCATGCTTGATGAGAGTGTGGGGCATGGGGTCAGCCTACACGGGTTCAGGCTGAGGCCACCTACATAAGCGTGGACCAGTCCCTCCCTTCTCTGTGCCTCGGTTGCCTTGCCTATAAAGATGAACAAAACAGGCCGGGCGCGGTGGCTCAAGCCTGTAATCCCAGCACTTTGGGAGGCCGAGACGGGCGGATCACGAGGTCAGGAGATCGAGACCATCCTGGCTAACACGGTGAAACCCCGTCTCTACTAAAAAATACAAAAAACTAGCCAGGCGAGGTGGCGGGCGCCTGTAGTCCCAGCTACTCGGGAGGCTGAGGCAGGAGAATGGCGGAAACCCGGGAGGCGGAGCTTGCAGTGAGCTGAGATCCAGCCACAGCACTCCAGCCTGGGCGACAGAGCGAGACTCTGCCTCAAAAAAAAAAAAAAAAAAAAAAAAAAAAGATGAACAAAACAATGGCATCTGTCTCATTGGGTTGTGTGAGACTTCAACTAGAGGATACTTGTAAAGTCTTGGGCATGAGGTAGGACCCATAGGATGTGCTCACTAACAGTTAGCTCGCTGGGCACGGTGGCTCAAGCCTGTAATCCCAGCACTTTGGAAGGACTAGGTGGGTGGACCCCGTTAGCCTAGGAGTTCAAGACCATCCCAGGCAACATGGCAAAACCTCGTCTCTACAAAAAATAGAAAAATAAGCCAGGCATGGTAGTGTGCACCTGTAGTCCAGCCACTCAGGAGGCTGAGGTGGGAAGACTGCACGAGCCCAGGAGACAGGTTGTGGTGAGCCAAGATTGCATCACTGCATTCCAGCCTGGGTGACAGAACGAGAGCCTCTCAAAAAAAAAAAAAAAAAAAAAAAAATTGATTTGAAGTCAACCTTGAGTTCGAATCTCATCTTTGCCATTTACACAATAGGCAACCTTTAAGCATGTGACTTCTTCTCAAGCCTTTACTTTTTTTTTTTTTTTTTTTGAGACGGAGTCTCGCTCTGTCGCCCAGGCTGGAGTGTAGTGGCTGGATCTCAGCTCACTGCAAGCTCCGCCTCCCGGGTTTACACCATTCTCCTGCCTCAGCCTCCCCAGTAGCTGGGATTACAGACGCCCACCACCTCGCCCGTCTAGTTTTTTTTGTGTTTTTTAGTAGAGACGGGGTTTCACCGGGTTAGCCAGG